TCATTCTCGCTCAGGCTGGTTTTGAACTCCTGACCTTGAGTGATTCACCTGCCTCGGCCTCCCAGAGTGCTAGGATTACAGGCATGAGCCACTGCGCCCAGCCCATTGCTGCTATCTTTAGAACTAAATCACTGCTATTTCAATCAATATCCACTAATTCCATTTTAACAAGTTTTGCATTTGGTGGAATTTTGGCATCAGGCTGTCCTCTCTTTCCATAAACCCACTGGGGTTCAATCTCCAGTCAAGCCTTTTCTCCTTTACTCGTAAGGAGAGTGCTTCATCCCATCCTCTGATAACTTTGCCTACTTCGACCTTAAAACTTAAAGGGTTGGAATTTTTCTTTTTCTTTGAACTTGTTTGAATATAAGTATCAAAAACAGTCCCGTCCTGTAGTGTTCCTATATACCAACAGTGAACAACATCTCCCTTTTGGGGAAAGTTGGTTTTATCTCCCTTTTTTAGGACAGATTTCATGTATTTTAGTGGACCCTCATCCAGAGTCTCTTCAGACTTGGTTTCTTTGGGTTTATTTTCATTAAGCTTCACATGTTTCACTTGCTCAGACACTTTACTTACACTTTCGATACCCTTGAAATGCTTAGTTTCAAAAAGATGGTTATAGGCTGTAACCAAATGGTCCTTGTTAACTGTCTTGGCCACATTTTTAATGTTTCCTAATAATTAATGTTCTGCAAGAAACGAATCTGAACCGTGGTCCTACAGAAACTTGATAATGTCCTTCTTGGGCAGCTGCTCCACGGTCCCCACCAGCCGGGGAATGGCTGCCACCATCTTTCCCCAAGGCCCTTAGCTTAAAACATTCCAAGCCTTTAGACAAAGCTCCATGTGTTTAATCAATTACAAATCAAAGATTTTTTTAAACTCACCTATAACCTGTAAGCTCCTGTTTCAAGATATTCCACCTTTGGGGGCCAAACCAATGTATGCCTTCCATGTATTGATTTATGACTTTACCTGTAATTCCTATCTCCCTGAAATGTATAAAACCAATCTGTAACCCAACCACAGTGAGACAACTTGCTCAAGGCTTCTTGAGCATAGCTCTCTGGGCTCAGAATAAACCTCTTTAAATTATTTTTCGGAGTTTGAGTTATCTTCCATTGACATTGAGCTTACAGACTAACTGTTCTTAAAGCCAATAATTGTTTTTTTTACAATTAGATGATATTATGCACCCACCATGATATTTACTGAAAAAAGTTGTTACTGAAAGTTTGGCACTTGTCCCTGAGAGCACATCAGAAGAACAAGAACAAGGAACGGAGAGTTTATTAATTTGCTGGCAAATGAGGAATATGGCAGACTTGCATCTTAAAGTACCACAGTCCTAACTATAAGCAGAAATTTAGAGCTTTTAAAGGAAGGTTCTTCAGCTTCAGGCTATTGCTATTTAACTATAGTTTATGGTTCTGATCAGTCTCATCTTCAGCAGAAGACAATCTCTGTGACCTCCACCCAGACAATTCCATTGAGTCATCTCCTGTGGTGCAAAGAAAAAAAAAAAAGGACACTCCCCTGCCCCTCTGATTACTGGCCCCAGGCAGGGATGTAGGTTTTTGTTTGTTTGTTTGTTTGTTTGTTTGTTTGTTTGTTTGTTTTGAGACAGAGTCTCGCTTTGTTGCCCAGGCTAGAGTGAGTGCTGTGGCGTCAGCCTAGCTCACAGGCAACCTCAAACTCCTGGGCTCAAGCAATCCTCCTGCCTCAGCCTCCCAAGTGGCTGGGACTATAGGCATGCACCACCATGCCCGGCTAATTTTTTCCTCTATATATTAGTTGACCAATTAATTTCTTTCTATTTATAGTAGAGACAGGGTCTCACTCTTGCTCAGGCTGGTTTCGAACTTCCTGACCTCAAGCAATCCGCCCGCCTCGGCCTCCCAGAGTGCTAGGATTACAGGCGCGAGCCACCACGCCCGGCTGGGATGTAGGTTTTAATTCCACAAAAAGAGTAGGATTTTTTTTTTTTTTTTTTTTTTGAGACAGAGTCTCGCTTTGTTGCCCAGGCTAGAGTGAGTGCCATGGCGTCAGCCTAGCTCACAGCAACCTCAAACTCCTGGGCTCGAGTGATCCTTCTGCCTCAGCCTCCCGGGTAGCTGGGACTACAGGCATGCGCCACCATGCCCGGCTAATTTTTTATATATATATCAGTTGGCCAATTAATTTCTTTCTATTTATAGTAGAGACGGGGTCTCGCTCTTGCTCAGGCTGGTTTTGAACTCCTGACCTTGAGCAATCCGCCCGCCTCGGCCTCCCAAGAGCTAGGATTACAGGCGTGAGCCACAGCGCCCGGCCCAAGAGTAGGATTTTAAAGAGACAACTCATAAAACATTTTACTCTTTTTCAGGCCATCCCCTCTGTTACAAGATTGACAATGTGGAACAATTGAACACTACTGTTGAAAGAGTAAACTGATTGAATAGATTTGAAAAAAATGGTTTGTCCTTATATAAAAAGAAAATCAAAATCTCAGGGCCACCCACCCAACTCCTTATACAAAAGAGAAGGTAAAGGCCTCAGACACCTATGACAAACTGGCCACACACATCATTCATGAAAGAAATTCCTTGCTGACCTCCCATAAGCAAGGACATGTAAATTGTAACTATGTCTAGAAGTGAGGATTAGGGTCAAGACGTGAGAACCCCAGGAGTAGAGCAGGACTTCGCTAAAGAGAAACCTGTGGATGTGTCAGTTCACTGAGCAAAAGCTGCTTGAGAAGCCAAGAGGGAAGGATTGCTTGAGGCTAGGAATTTGAGACCAATCTGGGCAACACAGTAAGATCCCATCTCTACAAAAAAAAATTTTTTTTAAACTAGCCAAGCATAATAGTGTATGCTTATAGTCCCAGTTCATCAGGAAACTGAGGCAGGAAGATGCCTTGAGCCAAAGAGTTCAAGGCTGCAATAAGCCTTGAGTTCAAGGCTGCAATTTCACCATTGCACTCCAGCCTGAGTGACAAAGACCCTATCTAAAAAAAAAAGGTGAAAATAATCCAAACATCTACCAACAGTGGAATGAATAAGTAAATCAAGATATCCCATACAATGGAATGCTATACAGTGACAAAAATGAACAAAATACAACTACACACATGAATGAATCTCACAAACATAATGTTGTGACATAAAAGAATGCATAATGAAAAAAAAAGAAAAAAAAAAGAATGCATAATGTCTGATTCCATCTACATAAAATTTTAAATAGGCAAAACTACTTTGCGTTGCTAGAAATCAGATTAGAGGTTACCTTTGGGGAGAAGGAAGGATTGGGGGAGTATTAGGGGACATTTGTGGTGCCGGTAATGTTCTATTTTTTTACCTGTATTATTATAATACAGTGTTAATTTTGTGAAACTTCACTAAACTGTTCACTTACAATCTGTGTGTTTTAGATTCAAATTAGAAAAATAAAAATAACTCTTCAAACAACGAAAATAAATAGTTCAAGGAAATTACTTATGCATTTGCTATAAAATTCTTATTAAGAACACTGTATCTGCGCACTGTTCACAATCCCACATGATAAATCCTATCATAAACCCTATTTAGTACCGGGAAAGATTTTGTCTTTTCTAAGTAAATAGTATACTATTGATTGTTTAAAATTATCTACTTCTTCATATTAATATTATCTTATAAGTTCAAGATCAAATTTAATGCTCAATTATAGTAATTCTACTAGCCCTTGTAGATAGCACTTTTTCTTCCTCTCTTTTTTTCACCTCTTTGATTTTCTATTTCTTTTGTATTTCTATTTGCATTTTAACAACCTTATTGTACATGTGTCTTTTACTTCAGGTTACCTCAAACTCTTTTTAAAGATGCCACATTTGTTCAAGACTAAAACTTGACTAATGAATCCTCCTAACTTAGCCTCATTCCAAAAGTCACCTCACTTCCTTGTACCAAATGGAAAAAACATTAGCCAATACTCAGGAACCCAATGCCTTATACTCATGTTTTTTAAAATGACACCTCATTTCATAACAGTATATAAAATTCCATAAAGGGAAGGGGAAAATGTTACCTGAAGAATTCTTGTTTGGAAATATATGTTGTGTTTTTTTTTTTTTTTTTTTTTGAGACAGAGTTTCACTCTGTTGCCTGGGCTAGAGTGCCATGGGGTCAGCAACCTCAGACTCCTGGGCTCAAGTCTCCTGCCTCAGCCTCCCAAGTAGCTGGGACTACAGGCATGGGACACCATGCCCGGCTAATTTTTTCTATATTTTTAGTTGGCCAATTAATTTTATTCTATTTTTAGTAGAGATGGGGTCTCGCTCTTGCTCAAGCTGGTTTTGAACTCCTGAGCTTGAGCAATCCGCCCGCCTCGGCCTCCCAGAATGCTAGGATTATAGGCGTGAGCCACCGCGCGCGGCAATATGTTGTATTTCAGACACTTCTTTGCTTCCTCTGGAATTTTATTTCCTCTCTATTCTCCACGGATTAGAATTATAGCAGGTGGGAAAGAATAAGGAGACTACTAAGAGCCCTGTAGAAAATGAAAATGACAGGAAAAATTTCATTACTCCCACTACAAAGAATTTAGGCAGTAGAAGATGAAAGTGGGGTTAGAGCAGCAACCTCAGCCTAGACAGAGCTTAAGCAACAGGATTGTCATGGCAGTTATAGCAGGCCCCTTTTGTTTGCCCAGAGTATCTCAAAGGTAGCCCACAACTATCAGCATTAACCCATAAAAGAGCTGGTTTTCCCCACTCTCAAGAACTCCCAGTTTTTCAGAGTTTGTATTTGTAGATAAAATCACTCCCAACTTCTAACCAATATTTTCCCAAACTCCAAAGGAGTGAAGATCAAAAAGGCAGAGGAAAAAAATAGTGAGAAAATTAATTTCAGGAATCAAAGTTGAAGGATCTTTTAAGAAAATACAAAACCATAATCAATACCTATCTCCAAACACACTGTATCCTCTTCCCTACCCAACACACACACACACATAGACACACACACACACACTCCTACCTGACTTGTTCAGGAAACGTCCAGTCCTGGATGCTCAACTGGGCAGCAGTCTTCCTCCTTTCCCATTCACTGCCCGCCCCTACCTTCTGCATTGCTTTCGCAACACCTCTCTCCCATGGTAGGAGTCCAGGCTGCACCACTTCCTTGTGGAGTTCTCACCGGTGTCATCCTTGCTCAGCTGGAGAATCAGATCTGTTCTTTTTTTTTATTTTTTTATTTTGACATATTATGGGGGTACAGATTTTAAGGTTTCAATAAATGCCCTTTCCCCTACTCCCCCCCAGATCTGTTCTTGACAAAATGAAAAGCAGAACAAAAGAAAAGAGTTGCTATGACCAGCCAGAGAGTTTCCTGTGCTTTTCAGCTCCCATCCTCTAATTTAAGTTGGAATACTGGGATGCAAATCCCCTGCCAGAGTGGAGATGGGGAGGAAGCAGATTTTAGCAGAGCACAGTTTCTTAGACTGCCAACCTGAAATCAGTTGTTGCAAACTGGGACTCTCAAGATACCTTTCCAAAAGAACTGCAGCCATTTTGTGTCTTGGGCCCTGCAGCAAGACACATATATACGTATTTGGTGATAACAGCTTTATTGAGGCATAATTCACATACCATGCAATTCACCTTTTTTTTTTTTTTTTGAGACAAAGTCTTGCTTTGTTTCCCAGGCTACAGTGAGTACTGTGGCGTCAGCCTAGCTCACAGCAACCTCAGACTCCTGGGCTCAAGCAATCCTCCTGCCTCAGCCTCCCAAGTGGCTGGGACTACAGGCATGCGCCACCATGCCTGGCTAATTTTTTCTATATATATTAGTTGGCCAATTAATTTCTTTCTATTTATAGTACAGATGGGGTCTCGCTCTTGCTCAGGCTGGTTTTGAACTCCTGACCTCGAGCAATCCTCCCACCTCGGCCTCCCAGAGTGCTAGGATTCAGGCGTGAGCCACCGCACCTGGCCAATTCACCTCTTTAAAGTATACAATTCAGTAGGTTTTAGTATATAAACAGAGTTGTGTAACTGTACCAAAAGTTTGGTACTTGTGCCCAAGGCTGAATCAATAAGAACAAAGTACAAAGATAAGTGGTTTGAGGAAAATGAAGGAGAAGTTTATTAATTTGCCAGCAAATGAGGAGGGTGGTGGACTAGCATCTCAAAGACTGCCATACTGTCTTTAAGCAAAAAAACAGCGCTTTTTTAAGCCAAGGTAAGGGTGGTCTTCAGAGGTTGGGCTAGGGTCTATGTGGCTGGTGTCACATGTTGTGGCTTTGGGCTATTGGTTCACTATAATTGCTGGTTTGGATGGGTCTTATCTCTGGTGACAATGATCTTGTGACCCTTGGACTATTCTGTTGAGCTATCTCCTGTAGTTCAAAATACTAGAAAACAAACAGCAAAGAACATTTTTCTGCCCCTTGGATTATTGGCCTCAGGAAAGAATGTAGGTTCTAATTCCCAAAAAGGGAGATTTTAAAGAGACAACCTGTTAAACACTTCATTGCCTTTTTCAGACAGACATTTCCCTGTTACGTATTCCCCACTGTAATTTTATCCTTCCATATCTATGGGACAAGGGGCACATGGTTTCAAGCAACTTACTGCTGAATTAGGGAGACATTTTAGATGGAAGGTTTGTACTAGTTTATGCCATTGTTATTTCTGGTTTGTCAACGTTTTAGCAGTAGAGTTACAAAAAAATAAAGAATGCAACAGATTACCAGGCAAAAAAGGGCCTAAACAATAATGACAACCATGAGGATTGCCAAGGCAAAATGGAGGATACCTAACAGGAGGGATTTTATCCCATTTGGTATCTAAGACACGGGTAGGACTGTGTGGGTCCTTACTATTGCCTTGTACATAATGTCTGACATGGGGCTGGGTAAGAAAGAAACACGCTTAAAAAAACGTTCCATTTTGATTCTGAGGTTACTGTAAAAAAATAAAAAAACATGGGATCTCTGAATATGGAGCTGTTAGTCATGATGACAAACCCAGCAGTGAGACAGATTAGCAGAAGAGGTGATAATTTGGGAAATCCTCACTAAGAAGTTGTCCTCCATCCTATAGAGAGAACAAATAACCAAAGAAAGGTTAGCACAAATATGAACGTTTTCATTTTTCCTTTTTCTTAAACAGATACTATAGATCACCTAAAGCCCCCATCCACTAGGGGCTTGTGGCCTCTTCTTCTACAGGATGCCTTTTTGTTCTGGTATAATGGAACCCAGATTTTACTCCTAACAATTTCAACAAGGTGTGTTATTAGAAGTACTTCATAGGGTCCCTTCCTTCATAGGGTTCCCTTCTGGTCTCAAAAGGAAAGATCATTCCCACTCCCAAGTCATAACCTGGTGGGCATGGAACTGAAGAATCGGTTCCAACTGTGTGTTGGAGGCAAGGACCCTTAAAGACTCTTAACTCCCCTATGACTTGTCCTATGCACGGGCTTTGCCCTACAAATTTTTAGCTATAGCTCCAAAAAAAATGCATTCCATGACGTGCTGACCACGGAATGCTCCAGTGTGTGCTAACTGCAATTGTTCCCAACCACCAGGTTGGAGATGAGTAACCAGTCACAAACAGGATACCGATAAGACGCTGATTGGGGCTGATTAGCCCAAACCCAAGACTCATCGTCACCCCACTCTATTTTTCTGTTTCTACTTCCTTGTTTCTGTATACTTATAAAACCTACAAAAAATCCAAGTAAAGTAGACCTTGACAACCCTTTGCTTGGTCTCATTCCTTTCTCTCGCCCATCTCTTTCAGGCACGGTCCCCCTTGACCCCACAAATAACAAAAGGTCCCGCGGGCCGGGACAAGTGGCGCCCAACGTGGGGCACAAGGTACGGACTTTTGTCGGATGCACGCGGTTTACAGACAGTTCTCCGGAGAATCCCTGAAGAGACCTCCTTTCTGCCGCTCACAGAATCGACGGTCTGGTGAGTAGATTTTTTACATTGTCATCCCATCGAGATGGGCCATTCTTTGTCTAAAGAGGCCGTTTTTATCAAGGATCTCAAGGCCTCGCTCAGAGAGAGAGGAATTAGAATTAAGAAAAAGGACCAGGCCGAGGCA